GCCGTGTATTCTACAACAAAATTCAGAAGGCAACTACATAAATGGAAAAGAAAACGCAATACTTAGAGTATATATAATTATTTGATTGCTCGAGCAGAAAGAAAAGGGAGAAAAATCAATTTTGTTTAATTTGAAACAGTTTAACCAGAAACCGCTACTAGCAGAACGGCACCGCATTGGCATCGCTATGCTAGAAGAACTAGTCAACCTGTTTTTTAGCTTTACAAAGTGCAACAGTAAAGACAATGATTTAGTGCCAAAACTCACTGTTACTCGGACTAAAACGTGAGTACCGAATACGGATATGTGTCCAACATAGGTATATTTAATTTTATAAAATTTTCCATGTAGATGGAGGGTCCTTTAAGAGTCATATCCATATTCACGAGGTTGCTTGTACTTCATGAAAATTAAAGAGGTCAATCATCATAGAACTTGTTCTACATTTGGTGGCTAACTACCATACATTGTCTAAGGCGGTTACGTGCTTTAAAAATATGTACTGTGGCATCCATAACATCATTCCAGTTCTGCCGTCGAGCTCTTGTAAGGTTTAAAAGAGCACAACATTCAAGCATATTGATATTGCAACGTAACTTGCACTCCGATCCGAGTGTCGTATGTGAATTTGTGTCCTCCAACACAACTATGCTTAATGTCTATGATTTTCATTAATTTGGAGGGTCTTTTGAGACATCCAATATTCATGTCCTAACATAGAGTTGGATATGAATGCTTCAAGAAAACTAAAGAGTTGAGCATCACAGAACTTGTTTTATAATGTCAATGCTTAGACTTAACAAATTTGGCCCAAGGCAATCAAAAACTCATAAAAGGACCCAAAAAAGAACCAAATCTTTAACAACATTCACAATCATGCAGAAAAGTCGATATCAATCTCTGAGTCCATCAACACTGAAAAACCAGATGCATAAGCTCAGATTCAAATCTAAACCAGTTAAGCTAAACTTGAAAGATGAACCAACTGAATTAAGCTTTGCATGACTGAATTAACTAATAGAGATAAGCTTCAGGCTGGAAAAACAGAGTGTTTTAAGTTCATAGAGCCGGTACCAATGCATTACTACCAGAAATACAATGAAACCCAGATTTTAAACTTCAATAAACTATGCTGAAAACAAATAAAAAGAAAAGGTACCTGGTTGAAGAAGAAGATGTTTGATTGAGCCTTGGGACAACAGCCATGGATGAGGTCTTTGAAACTGACATAGGATCATCTTTTCTTCACTTTTTCTTTTTCCACTAGTGATGGAGAAAGGATAAAAAGAAACGATTTTTTATACAAAATGAACAGACAGATGAATTATTATTATTGTTATTATTGAAAGAGAACAGACATATGAGCTAGATCGAAGCGTTGGGATACTTTTATGTGGGACAAAAACAGTAAGACAAAAATTAAAAAGCCGGTTTTGGAAGGAAGTGAGAGCGGACCACATGCTCATCTTCATTCATTTGCTGCTCCACTTAGGCACTTACAACTTGCAGGCAATGCTTCACTGCTTGACCTTATTTTCCACGCTCTACAATTTGTGGTCATGTTGTTTTCAGGTACAATTTGTGGTTTAATGTCCATTTGGTCCTTAAAATTGTATTTTATTATCGTTGTGGTACAATCTCATAACAAAAAATGGCATGATATGTTTAGGCCGTAAATGAGACGATTTGAGTTCGAGTATTGTAGAACTCAACTCGAAAAGTTTAAAGTTGAACTCGACTCAAATTCAAAATAAAAAATTGAAACTCGACTTGAACTCGAAATATTTTTAAACTTATCTCGGTTGAAGCTCGAACTTAAACTCTAGTCAAGATTGAACTTGAGCTCGAACTTGAGTATATAAAAAAACTCTTATTGCATTTTAAAAATAATCAACATATAAATATTAATTTTTAATAATTTAATCTAAAAACAAAATTTTTAATAAATTATTTTTTCGAATTGATCATGATCTTTTCAAGTCGGATATCAAATAATTCATTTCGGCTCGCTAAAAACTTGAATCGAATATCGATCAAACTTTGATCAAGTTAAACTGAAGTAACTTATGATTTATCTCGGCTTATTTACGGAGTAGGCACGTTTGATGTTTCCAGCACGCCGTTCCACATTTTCTTCTAAAGTGATAGACGATTTATAACTTAAAGGTAAGTATTAAATAAAATAAAATAAAATATAGATACCAAACTGATAATCACATATAATCTTAGGGCTCAAAAGGTAAATTATACAGTTGATTGTTTAAATATAAAAAAATTATTTTAATCACTCAAATTAAAAACTTACAAAAATAACCAGTAAAATTATTTTCCGTCGCAACGTGATTGAAGTGACAGTTGTGTGGAACAAAACGTTAAATACAAACGTGGGATTCAATCCAAGTCTCTCCAAAAATCCACCCACCACTTAACCACTCACTACACCCACTTGCCCAATTCATTTCAATGTTGAATTAAAATTTGTATTTTAGGTTAAGTTCATGTGGTAAACAGTTTGATATAGTTTAAGTAAATTTTGAGTTTGAGATATTGTTTATACCAAAAATTCACATTGAGAGACTCACCCACTAAAATCAAGTATGTAGTATGCAAGGATAGATCGAAATGAGGACAGATGGGGATAGTCGCCCATATCAATTTTATTAACTATTAAGTCAACATCTCTATTAAATATTAACGGCTGGTGGCTTAACTGAATGCATTTAAATAATTGGATGACAAAATTTTAAAAATGATGATCAAAATAAAAAGGGATAATGATTAGGTGATCAATGATTATACCCTTAATTTCAACTCTAATTAAACCTAAAACCTTTTGTAATAATCCAAATTTGTGATTCAATATTCGGGCGTTAACCTGAACCTTTGATGGATATGTTAATTAGAGTATGGAAATTTGTTGGGCTCAATTGGGTGAGTTTTGGCCTGAAGGAGATTTTTTATGAATGAAAGTTTAAGGACTAAAGAGGTGATTAACCCATTAGCTTAGGAAGTCAACTCCTCCATTAATTGGAAGCATGGCGAGTTGGGAAAAGCATGGGTAAAAGTTTATGGTGTTTATTTATTTAAGGGTAAACTACATAAATGATCATTATTATTTAAGGTTCTTTTTTCCCTTTTAAAAGTAATAATTTGATCACTAATGTTATTAATTTTTAAAAAACCGGTTACTCATCATTAACAATTGATACTAGGGGTGTTGATATGTTAATTTTAACTCTAATTTAACCTAAAACTTTTTGTAATAATCCAGATGTTTGATTCAACATTCTGGTGTTGACTTGAACCTTTGATAGATATGTTACTCAGAGTATGGAAATTTGTTGGGCTCAATTGGGTGAGCTTTGGCCTAATGGAGATTTTTTATGAATGAAAGTTCAAGGACTAATGGGTTATTAGCCCATTTCCCTTCGGAAGTCAACTCCTCCTTTAATCGGAAGCAATCATTGCAAATTTGAATATCGCATCCGACCTAATTTGAAATTTTGGATACCTAAAATTATGATATGTATCTAATCTGAAAAAAATAAGGTATTCTAATTTTCAAATCGAATATCCTAATATCGGATCTGAATATAAAATTTAATTTGACAAAAAAATTAATGTTAAATTTTAAAATTTGTGATTTAATGTAACTTATCCGATACTTCTAGTATATATATATATAATTACTCACACAATAAATAATTAAATATCCTATTTTTATTGGGTTATAGCTATAACGGGTTAGTGTGTTACTCATTTATTGGGTTAAAGGTATCTAAACTCTAAGGGGGTGTTTGGTTCAGGTAATCTGAGATTACTAGGGGAATGAAATCTCATTCCCCCGTTTGGTTGGCCAACATTCCCAACCCCCGGTAATCTTTTATTACCAACAGTGGTATTTTGGGAGTATATTATTGAGAATGTGATTATCCTTCCATTGGGTATTGTTGGATTACCTGCGTTTTGGACTAAAATGCCCTTAATTTTTTTTTCAAAAATACCCTTTCTGTCGTTGAATAATAAAAATTATACGAAGGTTAAATTACAAATTTATCCTTAAACTATTTTAGATTTACAAAAAAAGTCTAATTAAAATTTTATATGAAGTTCAGGGTTAAAATAAAATTTTACCCTTTCATTAAACCTATTTATCTTTTCAATTTTGTAAAAAATATAAATTTTATGAATTTAAAATTTTTAAAGAAAATATATAAATTAATTATAGTAGAATTCAACTTGTAATATATATATATATATATATATATATATATATATAATAAAGACAATTTGGTAAAATATACATTCCAATAATCTTTTATTCATTTAACCAAACACAATATACAACATTCTCAGTAATCTTATTTCCGCCGGTAATCTTATTTCACTGATAATCTTACATTCCGTGAACCAAACGCACCATAAAAGTCTATTTTTTTTATTTTCAGATAATTCGAGATTTGAATTTTTCTGATCATATTTGATCCAATTATCCTATCTGAATTATTCAAAAATTAAAAATGGATTGTATATCAAAATTTTCAAATCATATCATCGGGCACCAGATCGAATCAATTGGGTCGGATCTTTAAACTTTTAAGGGTGAGGAAGAGAAAAGGAGAGATGAATAGGAGAGAGAATAGGTGAAAATGAAGCATTTTCCCCTCTAATATCCACGGGTGACACCACAAAATCATTTCATACATTGACTTAGAAATTCTTGTCGAGTTTGAATGGGCAAAAAACCCAGCGTGAGCATTCATAGGTTCAATTCCCCTCAAATTAATATAATTATACATTTAATCTCGTTACTTACATATTTTATAAATTTGATATTAATTTTAATTTAATTCAAATAAGTTATTTAGTTCAAATATCAACATTACTTTCTAATTTAGATATTGAATCAAAACCAAACTTTTAATTCTTAACCTAATTAGTCAGTGAAATCACTTTTAAAAGGGAAATCTAAATTTCATTCGAATTCCAACGTCACCAAAGAATACTGCCTTTTCCTTTTTTCAATTTCCATAAAGCAATTCCACAAATTTGGGTAAGAAAGCACCAAGCCTAGTTGATGAATCACGAGATGACACCACCTTCCTTTCTGCTAACAGTTCCGAGTTCGAAACATATTTTTGCCATCCAAGCCAAGCAATGAAATGCAGGACGCATGGAGCAAATTGATTAAACTATCAACCATGTATGATCTTACCTTGCAATAGAGCTCGAGTTCAATTCCGATTTCCGGTTTCTATTATGCAATGTTCAGTTTTATCCGATTCCTCTAGGAAGCGTCGAATCTGACTCTTTGGGTGCATGCTGTGACATATTTTGCATTATGCAACTTCACGGTCACAGATGTAATGAAGTCAGTTCAATGGACTGGTTCAAATGTCGAGAAATTAACCCATCATGACGAACAATACTTTAGTCCTCAATATCCGAACCAAAATATTCCTTCAGGATACTTTTAGGAGTCCTTCCGAATCCGTTGGCCACTTCTTCCATTTCTCTGAGTCTCATGACTTCGTATTTTATCTGATCGACTCTGTTCAAGACGGCATTCAAATATGCATCTGCTTCATTCCCAGATGGTTGACCATGAAGTTCAGATCTCTCCTTCTCCAGTTGTTGATAAAGATGGCGTAGGTAATTCTTCTGACCATAAAGCCGTTCTTCTGCAATTTGGTATTCTGTTTCCTGTGCCTTTCTGAGAGCCTGAAGAACCCGATTGATCTCGTCTTCAATTTTCAGGTATTCACTGTGATAATCAGAAGATATCGATAAAACCGACCCTAAACATGGTTTATTATCTACGGCATCTCGATGGTTCGTTGGTTCAAGCCCTCCGTTTCCAATATGGAAGATACCTGCACAAAAACCAAAATGATGTTTTGTTATTGATGCATGAATTGACCATACCCGTGAGAGAGAATTAATGCAGGGAACTATATAATGATATTAAGGAACTATCAGATCTTCAAGCTTAGATATTTTAAATTCTCAAACTTCAATAAATTTATCTGGAATTTTCTGGATAGTTTTGCACAAAATTACATTCTGTAAATTTCAGCTACCCTCAAAGACCAGTCACATGTCACTATATGCGAATACATCCGAGTAAAGATTCGTGGAGGCAATGAATATTGTCAAAAGCCCAAAATGATACCAACATAACAACAAACTTCATATACAAATTCTAAAGTATAAGTTTCTGTGAAAACAAGAGGTTTTTCTCTTTTCTTTTCCTTCTAATAATGTTAGAAAACAGCCTGGTTAATATAGGTTGTGTACACAACAGCAGACTCCCATCTAAATTAGTGTTTAAATAGGAGTCCTACTAGGTTACATCTTATCTAAAAACCTTATCTTAGTAGATATCTATCTTATCTACTAAGTACATAAATTTAATCATAAAATACAACTTTAATACAAAATAAAATACATATTAAATTCCGATACATTCTATCTTATGTCCTTCATTTTACTTAGAGCACCTTGTTGAGTTTGAATTCTAATATTTTGATATAACAAATAAATACAAAAATATTTTTGGACTTGATCAAAAGTTTCATAAATAATTCAAAGTCCACAAAGCTTAAGTTTGAATAAAATGATTTTGACAAATTTTAACTAATGGCTCGATTTATATATTTAATTTCAAAATTCATTTTTTGAAAATATTTTACTATTTTTTAAAAATTTAGAAAGCTTTTAAAAACTCAAATGTATTCTAAATTATTTAAAAATATTTTTGAGTTGGTTAAAATATTTTTAAAGTGTTTAAAACTTTTAAAACATGAAAACACTATTCAGTCACTATTTGGCACTGCTCACGATCCTATTTATGCACGAGTACTGTTCATGAGTATTGAGCTTCAAAACTTCTGATGAAGTTTTGAAACTTTACCCACTATAACAGCTTCAACAGCAAGTTTTTAATTAAATGTCATATTTTTTAAGTAGAGTTTCGAAATTCATGTTAAAGTTTCAAAACCTTAGTTGCAGAATGCAATTTAATGCTGCTGGGGAAAAGGTCTCCAAACGATTATAATTCATCCCCAACGACTACAAACTCATTCCTCGCTATATAAGCACCTCAAGAACACTTCAAGAAAGTCACTACACCTATCCAAGCATAAAGATCAAAATAAAAGAGTTTCCATTCTTAATTCGTTCATTTTCTCTTGTACATAGTGTATACAACTTCATTGAATATCTTTTGTATTTATTCTTTGTGAGCTTCATCTTTGTAAACACTCACTTAGAGAGGTATCCCTTGTTTACACAAATCAAACCTTGTAAAAGGGAGAAGTTCTAGTTTTGTCTTAGAAAAACTATGATTCTGTCTTAGCCATTGTAAAAGAAAGGGGGAAGTTTCTATCTAAGCCTTGAAAAGGCAGTGTTGTAAAGGTTAAACTGTATCCTTGAAAGGTTCAATTCTAAATTAGTGACTATGGAAATCTTTAGTGGTGGAAAACTAAAGTAGCAAATGTAGACTTTGGTTGAGAAAGTAGAATTACTCTAAATCGATTTTGCCAAAAGTTTTATTTTTTGTTCAAGCTTCCACTAAATTTTCTAAAAGCCAATTCACCCCACTCTTAGTGGTTTTCGGTTGATCGATAAAGTTAACAAACTTGTTTCTGATACACATTCGGACATAGATACACAAATATGACACTCCTAACTATGTTAGGCACATACTAGAGTTTGTGTAAAATAGTATAGATACTATCTGGATCCACTAGAATGATTTTACAAGAAAAGCCACTGTGCGGATAATATGCATTAACATCTAACTGATTGAAAACAAGAGGGAAAAAAATGAAGAAAAGAACAAAACAAACTGGCCTTCTAAGAGAGAGAATAAGAAAGTTTTCTTAAGCCCCTCAATATCCAAATCCATAGCCAAATATTTTGATGCAAATTAATATAATGAAATGTTTCATGTATTAGTAGCTAATAGAGTTGTCACTTCATTTATTTTTCATATGCATGAGATTTACAGTTAAATTACCTGTTGTAATAGCAGAATCACTTTCTTTCGCTTTCCAGATATCTTCAAGAGAAGTCCCATATTTAAGCTGATGTAAATATCAAAAGCGCTTACTAGCATTTTCACAAACCCTCAAAAAGCAGAAAGATATTTCTTGGAAAATCATGAAAGCTGTAAAGTGTTATAGCTAAAGTGCATTGAGCCATTGACCTTACCTCTTTGATAGCGGACTCGATACGGTTCAATAAGCCTCTTGCATTGGTGTTCTGTGAACCACGTAAAGCGCAGAAACCAATGTTAAGAATCTTCTCAATCTCATCCCGAGAATCTATGGATTCACAGGTTTTTAAAAGCAATGTCACATGAGGAATCAGAGATGTCTTTGAATCACAACGCCGGCAATAGTACTCTGCATCCAACCCAAAACTACCTCCAACTGTCCCAGCCATGTAAGACCGAAGAGCACAGTTTAGATGAGCAACATGCCCACATATATACCCATCCACCACTGCTTCACATTTGATATAACTATAGCCTCCATGTTTCAAGTCTATAGTCTTGCTACACAGAATACAGCAACAATCACGGCAGAAACGAGATTCACTGCAGCAAAGATCACAAGGCAAGGAAACCAAAGAAGGGCTTTCTGCTTCAGCATATAAACTGTTACACGTCTTATTCCCGGCCTTGCATGTCAAACTATCAGACTGGGGGGCAGAAACTGGAACTTCCTTCTCGTCAGAGGGGCAACAGAGAAAGCCTGAGCCACTGCATTATTCATTAAAAAAAAGTTGTTGGAAAAAAAGAAATTAAGTTTCATAGTTAGGACTAGATATCTTGAATATCCATCAAACATTGATAGTGTGAAAAAAGCAAAATGAAAGATGATGAAAATTACTATCATTATAACCTTCGTAAGTTAAGACAAAAACGCAAAATCTAAATAAGAACGTAATCTTATAAATATGCAATACTTGACTCATAGACCTCTCACTTCTATTTTCCTTGTATTTTCTATTCAGGATGATTTATTTTTGTGAATAAGAGTGCAAATAATCAACTTTCATATTTTTTTTTCTTCCCGCTTTTCCCTCATACAAAGAAACAATGAAAAAAAAATCTTTCAAACCTATGGGCTGTGTTCATCCAGGTTGCTTCACTCTGGGTGGATTGGGTGCACTCTTGTTTTATAAAAGGTAATATTGTAAAACATGTACCTATTTTGCAGAGGTCTAAATGGGACTAGAAGGAATTATTGAAACTCTTCAATTCATTCAGTATGGGATGAAATAAGACAAACAAGAGAAAGCAAATTGGCGCAGGCTAGTCTGAATAATTTCACAAAACTAAACATGCCTTGATCTCCTGGAAGGATTTGTTAGAAGGCTGCCTACAAGAATCAGACACCAGAATGGGACACTAGGAATTGGTGATTTGCCTATTCTGCAATCAGACAGAGGCGACCTGTGACCCCTTTACACATGATTGTGTTCCAAGTTGCTATGGAAGAAAGTATAGTAAGAATGTGGTACATACAGAGCTGTTGGCAGCCATCCATGATTGTGTTCTAAATTGATATGAGAGAATTATACTATTAAGTATAGGATTTAATAAATATAGCAGAGAACTGTTGTTCCGACCAAAAAGGCTAAATAACTGAAATACTGAATCAGATCATATATATTGAGAACAAAGAACTGCGACATTATACATGTTTTAAAAAAATGTAGAAGTTAATGCAGCTAACCACATAAATAATTACAAAAACTGAAATGAGAACATGGAGACAATAGAATAGAAGAAGAAAATGAACAGATTTATTGATGCTGACCGTTTTTCAAAGAATGTTTCTTCGCAGGGATTTTCCAGCTGAACGAAGCAAAAAATGCATTAATGTCTGCACCAGGGAGCACCATTTTGATATACCGCTCAACTGAAAGCTTGCTTGCAAGACCACGTTTCCTGCCTGAGTCTAAAACCTTTTGGAGGCGCTTTGGAGGATACAAATACCTATCTAAGAAATGACCAGTAATGGCTACTCTCCTTCCCACCTTCCAAGTCCATATGTCACCCTTATTAGGCCAATCCTCTGGAGCATAAGGCAAGCCAAGCCCAGATGTATCCGGCAAAACTGGACTGAGATGAAGACCGTTTTCTCTTCTCCTAGGAGTGCTTACTTTATTTTCCTTAGTATTATCAAGCTCCATAAGATTCAAGTTTAGAAGAAGTAGCCAAGAGCCAGTACACTGCACTCAATACTGTTTAAATTTTTTACGTGTTCAGCAATGAAAAGATTACAAAAACAGTTCAGTTATTGCAACATAAAGCCCATCATTCATAATCCAACTCCTATGAAACAAGAAAAAAAAAGATAGCTACATTTACAGTCCACTGCAAAAAAAAATATCTACAGCTGAAATCCATATTGAGAACCATTCAAACAGTTTCCAGTATTCAGATAAATTTCTCAAATGATGATACACATATATATATCAAATTACAAAGCATAATACTAATTTTAACTTAATATACGATAATATTTATATAAATGAATTCATTGAGCATGTTAAATTTCAAATCGGTCTGATATGTATGTAATGTCATGCAAATATTTATATAATGCCAATCAAGAATTTTATCTTTTTTTACATATCTAGAAATTAAAATCTTTTGCATAGAAAAAATAGTTAAGACATTTTTAATTTACACGAAGTCATTATAAATAATATAAACATTACAATAGTCATTTAAATCAAAATTAATTATTCAAAATTCAATGGCGTCATAAAAAACAATGCAGGTTTCGTTAGCATCCAAAAAAAATCTCAAGAATCTATTCACAAAATCCAATGAACTTGAACAGTGTTTGATGATTAAACATGAAATCATAAATTATTGAAGCCAATTACTATCGAATTTTGTATCTTTCAACTTAATGATTGAAGCAAAAACAAAAGCCAGGGAAAAAGGAATTTAACAAAAAAAAAAAATCACCTGGAACTGTTTAAAAATTTGACGGGAGCAAGATGGCGATCTATGCACCTGGTAAAATTGAAATTAGACTTTGGCTTTCTAAACTGGAAATCAAATAATCTCGACGTTTTCAGATAACAAAAAATAGAGGAAAAAAGAATTAGAGAGAAAGATGACGAAGTTGCGGTTTAGATTGAAGGAATAATAGGGGACAAAAGATTGAATAATAAATGAAAACCTAATTCAAAAGAGAGAAATATTTAAAGTGTGGTTGCGGCTATCGCCGTAAACGAGTTGAGTCGAGTTCGAATATTATTGAACTTGATTTAATTTAAAAAGTTTAAAGTCGAGTTCGGTTCTATTTGAAAACTTGCAAATATAAATAGTCAAGCTCGATTTAGACTTATAATTAAAATTTAAAAATTAAAATTCGATTCAACCAAAAGTTTATGAGCTTAAAATTTTTAAGCTTACTCGAATCAAAATTAAAGCTCAATTCAAGCTCGAAAAAATTTAAACTCGAAACTTTCTCAGACCTAGCTCGATTGAAGAGCTTGAACTTGAGTTTCAACCTGAACCTTAAGGGGATGTTTGGTTCAAGGAATGTGAGATTCTCATGGAATGAAATTCACATTCCCATGTTTGGTTGACTGTGAATCTTATTCTCGGTAATGTTTTTTACCAATAGTAGATTTTTTTGAGTATATTATCGGAAATGTCATTACCTCTTTCCTTAGGTATTGTTGGATTACCGGCGTTTTGGACTAAAATACCCTTAAAATATTATTTTTTTTCAAAAATACCATTCTTCTGTAATTGAATAATGAAAATTCTACGAAGGTTAAATTACAAATTTATTCTTAAACTATTTTACATTTACAAAAAAAGTATAATTAAAATTTTATATAAAGTTCAGAAGTTAAAATAAAATTTTACCATTTCATTAAACCTTTTTATATTTTCAATTTTGTAAAAAAAATATAATTTTATGAATTCAATTTTTTTAAAGAAAATATATAAATATTTTCCAACTTGTTAAAAAAATATATAGTAAGACAATTTGGTCAAATATACATTCCAATAATCTTTTATTCCTTTAACCAAACACGGTAATCTTACATTCCTGCTAAACCAACCAAACACAAAAACAACATTCCCAATAATCTTATTCACCGATAATCTTACATTCCCACTGGTAATCTTACATTCCATGAACCAAACGCACCCTAAGTACATGAAAGACTTATATTATATAAATAAAAAAACAACATATAAATGTTAATATTATTAATAATTTAATTTTAAAATAAAAAAATAATATATTATTTTTCATTTGCTCGAGAGCTTTTCGGATTGGTATCAAGTAGCTTACTTCGACTCGTTAAGAACTTGAGTCAAGTTCGAGCTCGAGTCGAGCTCATTTGATTCGAGTATTGACTAAGCTTTGATCGATTCGAACTCGAATAACTAACGATCTGTCTCTCTCATTTATAACCCTTGTCGGGCCTCAACGAGAAATTTGATTTTTTAAAATATTATTTGGGTAAATTAATTAATTAATTTTATTTAAATATACATATTATAATATTTGTTGATGCAACCGATGATCGGACCATCGTTGACCGATAAGTTTTATGGTGAATAAATAAAGAAGAGTCTCAAAGGATAGTAAATAGAGTGTATGGGCCAAAGAAGTCCCCTTCTCTTTGGGTGTCTAAGAGCTTGTATATTAACTCCTTATTTGTGGCAGTGTCAGACTTAAGATCACAATTATTGTTTGTAGGCCGACAAGACGATTAAATATAGTCGTTAACTAGTAGATTTGGATCTTATCATATTTTGTGAAATTTTCAATTATCCCATCAATAGGTGGCGTTGGCCTAGATGATTTAGATAATTTTGGAGGTACGACGCTTTGACTTTTGGAAATATAATATTTAGTTCTAAAGATATAACATTTGTCCCTCCTTAGTCGATGAAATGATATGAAGTAACTTGACCCGACATTTATTTGTGGAGGTATAACCTTTAGTCGATGCACTTACTATATGTACTTGGAGGTTTATCCAAGCTTTATGTATATTCTCTGAGGAGAATGCTCAGCTTTTAGACCTACGTGAATTTCTTGTTAAGGACTCTCAACGCTTTAATAGTAATTATTTCTTCATCTTTTGGAGGTCGAATGTGATACCTTACGTCCTTAACAGAGGTAATTTCTATTATGCTTGGCCGGTGAGAAAGTTATAAGGTCGTTCATTGCTCGAGATATTTCTGGGCCTTTGACTATGGAGGGGCAACTTAATATCCTTTAGGCGTTTAACCATGCACAATGTTTGAGCTTTTGACTCAATGTTTACAATAGTGCCACATATGCTCAATGTTAGCATTAGTGCCTTGGGCATATTGTATGGACATGATATTGGGGTTTTTTACTATTATCATTTGCGTACAATTTTATTATTAATACATTGAATAGGATTGTTAATTATTATAATTATCTTTAATAAGTTATTGTTGTTGGAACAATAGTAAAATAAGATTGATATGAAATTTGATAAATATTCATGAGATGAATATGTGAATGAGATTCATATATATTTGTTGAGAACAAATATCTGGATTGACTCGTTTTGAGATTAATACATAGATAAAAGTTATATATTAGTTTCAAATAGTTATGTCATTAAATTCTTATACTTGAAATTACTACAGTTCTCAAGATGATGATTGTTATGTTTTGACATTATAAAACATTGTCTTCAATCGGACAATTATAAAAGTTATGCTTGAACATGACATGAATCATGTAGTGATATGTGAGTGATTAAGATGTAATTTATCTCTCTTATCATAAGAGAGATATCTTAGGACCCTTAATGATTGAGATTGAGAAATGCATGGTCGTGCTCAAATGAGTTGATAGAGATCAATGACATTTGTTTATGTAGTTCAATTGAGTATAAAATGATATAAGGTTGACATTTTCCATGTCTTATATTCTATTAAGATATCATGAGATAAAGGATTATGACATAAGCTGCATTAAGGTTGTCTCAAATCATGAACTTTTCATTTAACTTGGGTAGTCATAATGACTTGTTGGATATCACTTATGACTTGTATGATCAAATGAGATTTTATCTACTGCCAACATTAATTGAACTTATAGGGTCGCACACTAAGAATGAATAAGAATGGTCGTGGTTATTACTATAAATGATATTTTAAGATAATGAGATTATTTTAAATTATATTGTAAAAGATTATTTATTGTTCAAATTTAAATAAGTTAAATTCATATTCTTTTGATAGAATATTTTGTTTATTATTATTTCTTTATTTGATTTAGAAATAATATTAAATAAATAATATAGTAATATTTTGTTAGGATTTGGATGATTTTGAATTCCTTATCAGATAATGGATATGCTTTATATTATTATTTATTTAAAGTGTTTTAGATAAATAATAATTATGTTATTATTTAATTTCAAATAATTTTAAATTAAGTATGATATAAAATAGAGGATTAATTTTAACCCTAATTATGTCATATATATAATATATATGTGTAATATATACTTAAGGTAATTAATTAATCTTCAGTCGTCAAAATAAAAAAAAAACCCACAAAACATATTTTTTCAAAAAGGTAACATTCCATTAATCATTCTTGATTCATTCGCGTGTGGATACGTGTAGTAGATGATTGTCTTTTAGAAAGACAACACCTTTAAAGATGGAAAAAAATAAGAGACAACATGAAAGGATTTCAAACTATAGATTAAGAATCTCACGACTTTATTTTTCGCGGTTAGTATGATATGCATGATATTATATGATTGATCAAAATTATTTAGATTTTTCGTTGTGTTATCATTGCCTTGATTTCCTCTGGTGGCATCAGAACCTCTTGCATGTTCATATTAATTATATGTATTGTGTATGATTGCTATAATCTATGCTATTAGGTGCATGATATTAGAGTTTGTGCGAACGATAATAAGAATCAAACTTCTTGTGGTGTTTTTTATATTAAATTAAATATGTTTTGTGATTAAAGTGTTTAATTGCATGATTAGATCATGGCAATACAAATTTATCAATCGTGATTTACGATTGGTCGTGTATAAGCCTTATGTGTAGTTAGATTACACTGTTTAATGCAATTAAACTAAGTTTTGGCTTGTTCACAAGTTTATTGATGAGATCAGAAAAAATGAAAATTTTGAGGCGAAATCTTAAGATTTCTCTTTAGAAAAATAATAAGTTTAATTTAATACAAATATAAAATTATTTTAACGTTGTTATGATTTTATGTAATTAAATATTTTTTATTTAATATTAATCTTATTATTATATGAAATTTAACAACATATTAAAATATTATTTTTCTAATGTTAATTTAATAACATTATTAATAGACATGCTCAAAGGTTGAACTATTGCACAAGCCCGAAGGTCCATTTAAAATTTAGGAATATCAATTAAAATATTAGGTTAAAAAATAGGTTTGGACAAAAAATAGACCAGTTTAAAATACGGGTTAAACTCGGACTTCGACATTTAAAGTTCGACCCAACCCGCTTTCTAGGTTTCTAATATATTTTATTATTTTATATTTATATAATTTTTAAGATAAACTACACATTTATTACATAAAATATCAATTTTATTTCATTTCAGTACCTACTTTTTTTTATTTATTCCGAAACCATATATATCATTTTTTTTATTTCACTTTAGTACTCAACCGTTAAAAATTTAATGAAACTTCTGCACGTGGCATTTTTTTATAGGTAAATTATATTATTCATCATACAATGATCTTCTCACTCTTACTTTGGTCACTATGTTTAATTTTTTTAATTTAATTACTCAACTTTCAAATTGCTCATGTTTTAATCACACTAATTTATTTATTGTGACATGCCATTTTTATTATTATTTTATAATATATAATTAAAATAAAGAAATTAATTTGAAAATTAGAGTGATTAAATTGGAGTAATTTGAAAGTTAAATAATTAAATAAAAAAACTTCAATGACCAAAACAAGAGTGAGAAGATAGTTAAGTGATGAATGATATTTACCGATAAAAAAGTACCATGTAGTAACAGTTCCGCTAAGTTTTTAACGGTGAGATACCAAAACGAAATAAAAAGTAAATGTTAGGTTGATTTTGAAACAAATGAAAGTTTAGGTACTAAAACGAAATAAAACTATAGTTTAGATCCTAAACATGTAGTTTACACAATGTTTATCAAAAAATTAAATATATAATGATATATAAAATTATAATACAAAAATGAACAAATATATTAAGTTATCCATGTATTAAACAGTTAAAATATTAATAAAAGGGAAAATATATATTATTTAAAGATAAAATCATAAACTAAACCTTTTAATTGTCTAACGATTTCCATGCAAGTATTCTTCATGCATAATCATCAACTGTTCTGCTACCTGTGGAAATACTGAATTCAAATCAGAATATATGTACCGCTTCAATGCTCCCATCCTCAATCTCTGTATTTAGAGAGAGTAGCATGCTTTCACGAAGCAAATTCTCTAAATCTTCTATCTGGTGTGCTGCAAATCAATTTATTTAAGTCAGTAGTCGTATTCCTATATACCATCTTAACAAGTTTTCAAAACAACATGAGCGGGACGAATGTAGGATGTAAAATAGAAAACATCAGCAGCAAGAGCAGCAAGGTAGGAGTCGATTCATGGAAATAGATTTTCGACATATTTACAAGTTAGTATCATGATATTTTTTTTTTCAATATGTTGTTCAAAATCACAATATCATGGTAGGAACACGAACAGGGATAGACACATGATTTTATGTCAAGGGTGTGAACCTTTTAAAAGTTGTATGAGAAATTTCAAGGTGTGAAATTAGATCATCGATATAAAACACAAAAAAAATACCTAAATTATGTGAGAATTTGAGATTCTCGTTAAATATGACTATCTCCTAACGTCCCTCCATCTCTGAACAGAGAAATAATTATAATCAATAAGAAAAAGAAAAGAACCTTTGGAATGAAGGAACCAAGAGAAGACATCAGCGGATGGCCACCCCATTGGTTTCGGATAGCCATTTGAAGACCATGCCATCGAGATAGAAGGGTTGTAATTCTTTCAAGCAAACAATCATGGGAGGCTGGTGACGACTCAGCCTTTTGATGAGTTGATGGAAAGCTCGAATGGTTGCTTTGTCCATTCAAGGATCCCATTTCCTCAGTCCTCTCTAATTCTTTTCAAAATATCACAACACAGAGAAATTAACATTTTGTTCAGCTTATATTCATATAGTACATATATGCATATGTATTTGTACATACATATATATATATATATACTGTTGTTCCTTGTTTGTTGAAAATATGAGAGTAAGATTGAAAGAGTTGCGAAAAGTAGGGATCAAATGAGAAACGATCGGTTGAGAATAGTCAACCATATTAAGCAATATGAAAAAGAAATTGAAAACATTTATCAAGAATTTAAATAGTTGACCATATCTAGTTTTGGTTTGGTAATCGGTATTTATAAGAAATAGGTTTGGATGATTAGTTGTTTGTAAAGCTAGTAATGCATACTCCAACACCAAAATTTAGAAAATATAAAGTTCAAATAATTTAGGTCAAGTTATTTGTGATTCGAATTGTTGTTGGACTATATAGACATTAATATATATAATACTCGATTTTCTTCCGGACTATCTTTTCCTCAAGGCTCAAACATTTTTATTGAAATTGATTTTGAAGTATAGTGTCTTCTTTAAATAGAATCGGCTTTCAGTTAGTTTTTCAACGCGTGGAGAAAACTAAATACTGGTCTAATACGAAAATTTTAATTATTACGAATTTTTATTTTTATTAAATATTTGTAATCAATTCAACCTTATACTTTCAATTGTTAGTTTAGGTAATTTAGGATATTATTTAAATTTTAAGATATTTTTAAGTCATAATTAGATTTATTTTATGCTTCCTTTCCAAGATGTCTATCTAGCATTAATGAAAAAGATGCTAGGGTTTTTTCTTGTGTAAAAAGGTGAGGCTATAAATAAGCTCTTTTCTCGTGTAAAAAGGGGAGGAAAAGAAAGAGAGAAAAAGAGAGAATCACCTAAAGTATTTTAATATGAAAGAGAAGAGCAATAAAATTGATTTCTTGTTTAAAGGTAATTTTTTATTTTTTTCTGTATTAGTTTCGGTCGATTTCGACCTTAAGGTTTCTCGAAAAAACCGATGGTATCTTGAATGAAAAGTTTTATTTATATTTATTTTATTTGATCTATAATTTGAAATATATAAAAGGAATTGGTATTTTAAATTTTTGGATTTATATTAAATTAAATGACCCGATAACTCAATTTGAATCCTTATGAGATCATAAGGTTTTCATATGGATATGAGATAATACTATTCACAGTCCATTTATTCTTTAAAATTTTAATCATATTCCCACAATTAAATGACTGGCCCAATTGGATCCCTATAAAATCATAGGTGTTCTCATATGGGTACTTTATTACATAGAATGCATGATTAGAAATCAATACGTGTCTGAGTCACCTCAGAGTCTACAGTGGCATTTAGAATATTTGGGTCACCCATCATGATAAAATATGGGTATTACAGATCATGAGTGTAGTTTGAAGGCTAGAAAGAACATGTAAACCTTTATATGGATGACACAAGAGATGACATTGTCCCACATAATGGACTTAATTTTTTAGAAGATGCCGGAGAAGATGAGGTGTTTACTTTAGGAATCTTAAATTAGATCGTGTGAGTGATCCTTAGGGTCCATTTTACCCTTACCTTTCTACCTCCACCACCACCTGTTACCACATCACTAGTCTCGGATAAAGGGTCTCTAAAGATACAAGATTGATGACATGTGATACGTGAGGAAGTCTTGATAAGAATCGATCAATTGTTAAGAGATACTTTGAGAGTTTGAGACAATTACATCTTACTCTTGAGGCTACCTTGAATGCACCACTATACTATAAAAGGTGACATGTACGACTGGTGGGAAACATATAAGATGACCTTATAGCCAAAGCCACTGACATAGGAGGATTTCTTAGCTGAGCTTAAGATTAATTATATTGGAGAGGCACATATGAATGATTTGATTGAACAATTTTCACACTTGGTTCAAGGAACCGATCAATCTATGAGTACAAGAGAGTTGGGTCAATAACTTATTAATTGGCTTTACCGCTAGAGATTAAGTGTATCCACAATGTGTTTCATGTGTTGATACTCAAGAGATATTGGTCAGATCCTTCCCGTATCATTTTGATTGAGTCTATTAAGGTGCCACTACAAGAAAATATACCTTTAATGACACACGAACGGTGACACACGTATTTTATGACTTGTAAAAAATGTGTACCATTGAGGATAAGGGGCTAAGCAACAAGAGGGTACCATTGATGAAAGTTACATGGAGAAATTATGGATATGAGGAAACTACTTAAGAGCTAGAGGAGTCTATATAGCTTCAATATTCACATCTCTCAAGTATTTTTTAAGGATGAACTTTTAAGAGTTGTAAGACATAGATTTTTGAGTCAATGTTTTATACTAACTTGAGTTGTGGATGAACCAATAAATTAGAGTAGTTGAGTTCCTTGGGTCAAGTTTTGTCTTGATTAGAAGAGAATAGGACCCAAAAGAGTGTACAAATAAAGCTTATAAGGTAAGGGTAAAAGAAGGATGGCAAAAGGTGTAATTAGACTCTTTTCTTAAAAATAAGGCTAAATACCTATTAATGTGAGTTTGTTTTATGTGGGAAACAGAAAGGTAAATTATGTACGGTGATATCACCCTCTTCTCCACTCTTTTCTCTCGTTATATTCCTCTCTTTCTCCTTCCATAAACCCTAATTTTTTAGCACTAAAAGAGTGAACCCTTTCATCCAAATCAATCATTTGGGATCCAAGAAGGTTAGATTTAACATCTCCGATCCATGAGCTTAAAAAAAGATCATCATCTTGTCCAAAACATGGTGTGAAGCTACTTAAAGGTTTTTGAAAGGGTTCAACATTTGAGAACCTTTTCAAGTCATTTCTGTTTCATTTTCATGCTTTAAATCTATAGTTTTACTTCGTCTTATATTTTTTATGATGTATGAATCAGTTCCATGATTGTTTGTTTGACAAAAAACTTGGTGAGATCTCTAGAGGAAAGAAAAAGTGGAAAGTAGTGAATAGCTAAGCAAAAGAATCTTCCTTGTTGATTTATAGCAAGGCAATACACATTTAACTTCGAAGTATTTCCTGAAGTTCATATGTATGATACTTTGTATACGAAACAGACGTATGTTTGAGTGCTTTGGTGTCCATCACTTCTGACTAAAGAGTTATGTCTAAGAATATGGATTCGGTAAATTCTTTATTTTCACGGGCATGGTAGTTGATCTTCTATACGCATCCGAGGAGCATAGTCGTGAGGGGTTGCCAACACCATTTTATCATACTACAGTACCTTATTTTCTATTGACGGGCATATGTATTCATACGATCCTTCTATATTTTTGTCCATAAACTATTATAATTTTAATTTACATTTTGTTGTAGTCAGAGCTTTAGTTTTTGTAAAATTATTTTAAGCTTATATACTTTTGATTTATCTACTTTTTTGTGTTTTGCAATGAAAATTTAACGTTTAGTATCAATCAAAAATGGATTTTAAATTTCCATTTTATATTTGATGGTCGTCTCGATAACAAAATGCAATACGCTAGACCATTCAAATATTTCAGATCAAGTTCAGGGTGTTACAAAGACAGTTATACGAGATTGAAGCTCCTTAATGTGTTAAATTATAAGTTAAAATAATAATATAGTTTATATACTGAAACATGAATAAGATCCTTTAGATATACGTGTAAATCAAGTACTATACTCGGATAAGAGAGGGCTGGTAATCCTTCATCGACGATGCTTCTTTGATTACATAAAAAAAAATTTGAACACTGAATTTTATAAACTCGCTGGCATCAACTCTATTATTCTAATGAAATTCATAAACATAAACAAGCATACAAGTCAAATATAAACAGTTGGATATGAGTGTAGTCATCTAGCTTGCTTATTTATTAACCGTGCTTAAACCAAACAAATAAGAAGAAGAAATACAACTCAAATCATATCAAATGCTTAATTTGCTATATATCCTAAAAAATATTTCAGAACAGGCATTAAATAAAATTTCTCAGGTGGCATCACATATGTCCAGGGGCGGACCCAGGGGTTGCCAGGGTAGCCCGAACAACCTCTCAAATTGTGAGGAACATTGATCAAATGATATTATTTTAATAATTTTATATATATATTTTGTGATTTTTAGGTAGAATCCTATATTTCAGATAAATTCTTATAGAAAAAAATTTTATACAACAAAATTGTCTACTTAGTATTAATTTTTTCTAATTTTTTTAATTAATACAAGTGTCACCTTTAATATTGTGCAACCCCTAAAAAAATTTATAAGAATTTTTTGTGCAACCCCTGAATTTTTGTCATAGGTCCGCCCCTGCATATGTCCACGTTAACTAGCTAACTGAAGTATGGTTTTATAAGAAAACACCACTCTTCACCTATCCAGACTTTTCTCAGCATAAAACTACGAAAATGATCTTCAAGTTGATGCCAAATAATTTCATCAATGAAATAAAATTCATTTTCCAATACCATGAAATGGCAATATCAGATATCTACGGACCAGTTATTGCCAAGTTCAAACAACTACAATTCAGAATACATTACAGTACCTTTGCAATGTTAAGCCAGAGCCAACTATCTGGTTCCTTTAGGCTCTCTCCGACTCTCGATCACGACCTTGTTCCGCGTTTCAAAATCAACCTTCTCCATATCAGCAACTGTTCCTAGGTAGCCGTAAAAGATCCTTTTTCTTTCTCCAGTCCTCTCATCCACCTTCACGAGGTTTGGATTTTTATCATCCTCCTCCTTCCCTAAAGTCAATGGCTGTAGACGGGACCAAGCCTTGCGACCACGGTTTTCCTTCTCAAAGTATTCAGCAAGATTGATGGCATCATTCAGGCCTGACTGATCACTCGCAAACTTGGCCAGTGTAATACCTAGATGACCTTCTCTACCATACATGGACTTGCACTTGCCACTTCCAAATCCAAGGTCTGAAAGCACATGAATAAGAGTAAAATGAAATATTTCGACTTAAGTTCACTCATTTGAACTTTCAAATGCATGGTGAAATATCTTTTTTCCAGGGTTGTTATGTTTTTGTAATATCTTTGGAATCATGATATAGATTCCCCAAAGTCAGAAAAAAGCATATTCTAACATCACCAGCAGACATACTCGGATGAAACACGCTCGACAAAATATCTCAGCCAACAAAATAAGACCGGTCAAAAAGTTTTGCTCTCAAAGTGGCTGCTGTAAGAACACTTCCATTGTACAAGTGAAAACAGATAGCAAAGAGGGTCATTTAAATGGATCAATCAATAAAAACAAATAAATGAGACATCAAGAACCTACTGTAATTGGCTGGCATGAAACAGTAACACAACATGAAACCCACCAGGTAAAAAAACATAGCTCTGACAAAGATGAAGGGTAACAAAATTTATCTGTAATGCCATGTACAATGAGCACAATCAAATGACAAACATATAGCAATCCAAACTTCGAACTTCAAGGTGATCAGAAAGCGAATCATTTAATACAAAAACGCAACTGAGAAAAGGAAAAAGACAAGTTTGTGGATCAAAACAAACAAGTTTAAAGTAAAGTAATGAAAGAAATAGATTACTACCCATAAAGACCATGTCAGAATATGACTGCATCTGTGTGCTAGAAAAGGATCCTCATCACTACTTAAAATTAATAAACATCAACTACTTTATCCGTGGGTGACACTTTCAGCTACTTATATGGTTCATATTTGTTCAAATTCCTTTTCACCTTTTTAATTCATCATCATTTATCTTTATATTTAATTTAAGGCCATTAAAATTTCAACCATAGATTAACTTCAATGTGAATTAGTCACATCTGAATAAACAGGTGGACATATCCACTACTGTGGAGCGATCTTTACCCCTGTACAACAGTTACATCAAGTGGAGCCAGAAGGGCTGTTTTAGAGAGAAGAGAAGGCGGCTCTAGCAAGGTGCCAGTGATTTTAAAAATCTAGAATGATTGATCTAACAGGCAAAAATCAACATTTTAGCGAATTCTTATCAAGTGAGATACATATTCCCACCAAAGGGCTAATGAGCCACATGAAATGAAATAAAACAGTGTAAAATTATATGATTATCGAATAGTTATCTCAAATATGATATCTTACTACTAATAGTAGCTCAGTAACTAGACCATTAATGAGGTCTTCTGTGCTTACATAAAATCTAATTGCTGACCATATCCCTTTTATGCATAGTGGCCTAGCCAAATGCCCAATCTTCCCCTGGAAGGGATCACTCCATTCCATATATAGTTGTTGACCAAGTTACTTGAGCATGTGTGCGAGCAGTGACCGATTCAAAAATATTTTTGAGGGTGGACACACATGCTTTAATAACACAATTTCGTATGGGTGGCTACAAATAAAATTTCAGGGAGGGCACAATCAATAAAATAAGTAACTAACCGAAGAAAATTCGGATTTCAGGGTAGGCACGTGTCCACCCTAGACTAAGGGTCGATTGCCACTGTGTGTGTGTGTCAAATACGAGTATGTCAATTTTTTATATTTATTTGGAGGGCAATATATCTCTGATGTCTGATTATGTGTCAGGCAAGGGAGTCAGACATGAGTATATCAAGAGAAATAGAGTCAGAGCAACATAGGTCGTTACACAATTATTAGCAACAAAAAGAAATACAATATCCTCCCTGCCACACAAAAAAAACTTCTGAATGACATCAATGCAGCATGCTACTCGAATACACTCCAAAAATTCAATCAATAATAATTTGAGAATGGTAATTCAGAGAAATACACAGCTTCATGAAGAATCCATGAGCATTAAGTATTTTAAAAATCATGTACTGCGTGATCTCCTACATTTTCGTTTAGTAAAATAAATGGATGTCAACTGCAGCAGTCTGAGGAATCTTAAAAATTAGAAAAGCTAAACATTGTCCATAATGGAAAACCGGGCATTGTCTACAGCTCATCTTCTCTAAGCATTTTCTCCAGAAAAGAAAGAGGTATGTTGCCAATATCAAAATTTTCTGCCACTTAGCATCATCCTATTCTTTATTTCCAATAAGTTAACTAATAATAACAACAACAATAATAACAATATCACAAACTTAAAACCATCATTTTAACTGAAAACTGAAAACTGGCATAACCTGACTAACAACACAAACCTGTAGCTTAACTACTTATGCTCTAGTTGGAAATTGATTATAATTAGCAGTACTTGCAACGGGAAACTACAACCAATATTAGGAAAATGCAAGCATCAACCACAAAAAAGCTAAATTAGAGTCAACATAATCTAGATGGTATCAAGAGAACAAGTAATTTTGGATATATGGAATCCAATATAAGCACAGAAAATCTACGGCTCTTCCGGAAATTGTTATCAAGGGCTCAGACATAAGTAAAGCAGCATCTAAAGATTTTCAAAAAAAGTAGATCTCATCAACTCTCATCACCTTAGCACTAGCCAAACCGGAACACCAATAACAAAACATGTGGTTTTCTTAACCAGAAACATTGCAGTAACCTCAATGAAATTACATACCGATTGCAAATTTGAGTGGATAGTGAGTGGGTCTGAATATACTCTATTTCAAGAGAAAATTAACCTATCGGACATAACTGAATGCTGACTCCCTGGTATTATACTTACCACAACAACAATTAGAAGAGTTAAAAAAGTAAATGTGAGAGCAAAAATTACTAAGATGGGCAAAAAGAATTTCAATAATGATAAAATATCAGTACAGTGAAGAGTGCAACTTTTGTTAACCAAAAAGGTGATATTCAGAATCAGTGTTTTAATACTAGTGACTAAAATTTAAACCATAAACAGAAAAATGGCAGAAAGGTTAACATGGGGCGAAGAGAAAATTAAAAAATATAACAAGTAAATAAGATGTTTTTGTAGGACCATTGATATTCAGGAACAAGTCTGTGGGACACAAAACTTAGAGCTCAAGACAAAAAGGTGCTTAAGAAACAAATCATTGATATTTTCATGCGAAAATATTGGAACTGAAATGAGATTTTATGCATCTCGACTCAAAACATGTATTTTACCATCAAAGATGTCTGTATGATAAATGTCTGAACTCAATGAAATACAAAAGATAATTATTTACTAGTCCATTAATACAACAGAAGCATGCATAAACAAACATAGCATCGTTTTTTTTTTGTTGAAATTAGTCATAATGCCATTAACCGAAATTAGCTTCTGTTACAACTTGACCAGCAATACAAGATGGATAGTCATATTGAAAGGACATGGTCGAAGCTGTAGTGGAAGCATACTGAGCGAGACAATGAGCCACATCGTTGGCAGAATGGCAAAGGGAACGGATACTAAAGTCAGGGTGCGTGTCCAAGATATTCTGGGCCTCTGCTAAAGCATGGAGGCAAACATAGCATCATTTTTATATAAAGCCCAAACGTCAGGCATGGAGGCAAGCACAACTGAGGAGTCTATCATGTTAATCTCCTTTGCTTACCATTCCATCTTGACACCAAAATGTAGGAAGTGAAGCTAGTTTCTTCAAACCAGATGATTTCACCAGGTTATAGGTTTCAACAGGTGTGAGGCTCAAGGAAATTTTATCAAGCTAGTACATTGATCTGGATATTAATCGGGACCAGCTTGAGGACCATCTTCCTAATTTAATCAAACCGTGTTTTTTGAAATGGATTGCAATTAAACCAATTAGAGGACTACCTGCTCAAACTGCCAAGTCCAGTCCAACTTTAATAATATTGGGTAAAGCATATAAATCATATAGCAACAATAGCCAAAGCTTTGATGGAAATCGACCAAAGCATCAGACAAATAATACTAGCTTGGTTTCTCTAAGAACATATATTAATGCACAGGTAAAACTTGGATCCATTTTAATAGATCAAGCAAAACTTGTCCCATCACCAGTCTACGTCAGATAAACATGGTTCAGATCCCATCATGCTAGATCCATAGAAATTAACATTAAGCATACTGGTTAGAGACTGTAAGCATCAACAGAAGAGGGAGAAAATGTAAAGGAATTAAAAGAAAGAGTGTGCACTAAACAAATTTAAGAACTTTAGAAGTGAAACTGAAGTTCAGGATTGGCTACATTGACCATTCAAGCAAGGCACAACGAAGAATACGTGCAAGCATAATCAGAAATATTATCCACAACTGAGGATAACAAAAGTTCACGTCACACTTATTATCAAAAGGATTGAATGAAGGGGAAAATTAAAGAATCAGTACACACAAATTGCTGTCTCAATTTTCACCTAATAAGCGCATACAAAATTGAGGAATTAGCATGCACAAAATTTGTCACAAGGTTCAGAAAATTTTCTAGTGTTACCCCCCCCCACACCACAAAACACAGGAAAAAAATAAATAAATCTCCAACATATATATTGCATACTTGCTCCTTTGCTGGATAGATGGCTTCATGAGATGGAAAGAGTTCTCAAAATGGTGCACCCATAAGTTTATCAAGGCCAACAGAGATTGCACAGTCGTGCTAAACAAAATGGAATTTGACTAAACTAACAAGTGCATTTGATGACAAATTATAACTGGTCTACGCAGTATGAAAACATAATTTAAAACTTATAAGGAAAGAGAAGGGAACTAAATAGATAACAAGGATTAACTAAACAAATCACTAGCCACCGTGTTGATCATCAACAACAATGAAGTATAATGAACAATTGGGGCACATTATACCTCTTAGTTTGCTATCCATTGCTTTGTTTCCCATACCTTCCACGCGCCCATCTTTCCCCTTTCCTGTTATAGTATTATGTACTATCACCATAGGAGGCCACATAATCAAATCCTCTTGGTTTGAGGCTGCTTCATCTGCAGGTAAGAACTGATAGGCCTTTGAATTATCAGGAGGCTTTGAGTGGTTCCATCCCATTAGTACACATAGAGCCTTGTGTAAGCCTAAGTGATCCACACGCAAGTCAGGATTATCTGAGTAGTACGTGTGCATTATCAGACCATGCATATCAGAGAAGTCTTTAGAGAACCTGTAATTTTTCATATCAAGTGCATTGAAGAATAAAATTCAGGTCTTCCTTTGAGATATCACTAGAATCAGCCGACATGATTGAACAAGGGAAATGGAGAAAAAAAATATTCAACAGTTTAAGAATAAGTTGAACAAATAAAAGAAGTATCGCGCATGGCATAGGGCCAACATATTCTACCGTCACCCAAGTAGACCACAAACATCAAATAAAAACTTGCACAAAAGGCAAATTTTTTTTATAAGAATTGAAGGCCTCGTTAAAAACCCCCTTCGTAATTAATGGAGCTTGGAGAAAGCTCCTTAATCATTGGAAGTAGGAAAAGAGAGCCTTAGGATTTTATTCAACAACATAAAATACATAGGAAACAACCAGGACCACACCCCCCATCAAACAATAAACAACATAAAGCGCTCAAAACCCAAAGCAAACCAAAACTATACAGAAACCTACTCAAAACCGACACAGCAGTACCCTAGATCAGAGGGTGAGTCCTGATTCCCAAACTAGCAATACTATTACAAAGGATCAACCACAACAAAACCCATCGAAAAAGCACAAAACATTACAAGAAGCCTGTTACACTTAATCGATCCCCTGCTTAGCTAAACTGTCGGCCTCCAAATTACAGCTCCTAGGAATCCATCTAAGAACGACCCCCTTAGCAGTAATAAGAGCTTCAATATCCTCCACCAGATCACTGAAAAAGGAAAGGGCAGGTTGTAGCTTTAAAATCCAATCCACTGCACATTTGCAGTCGCTCTCAATAATAAGTCTTCCCTTCTTAGCCCAATTTGAAGAATAGAAAAAACCCAATCCTTCCTAAATAGCTTTCAGTTCAGTCAAAATAGGCAAACCAGGCCCTACTGCAGAAGAGAAAGAAGCTAAAGAGCCGCTGAAAGAGTCTCTCAAGACACCACCAATACCCCCTTGCATCCCATCGCCAGTCACTGCTCCATCAACATTGAGTTTAAACATATCAGCTGGAGGAGGAGACCAACCAATAACCTTCTTAGGACCAGAAGTAATGAGAAAAGAATCTGCCCTCGTAGGATCCCCTACTAAAAGGTCTGTCTGAATCCGAACCAAAGGATGTTTAGCTAAGAACCATTTCGCCAATCTAAATCTAATGATAAAATACAGAACTGAACTGTCACATTTTCCATTTTCAAAAACAACCAGATTTCTTGCCTTCCAGATTGACCAGAAAATAACAGCTGGAATGAACCTCCAAATAATAGAATTATGCCTAAGATTGGACCATGAGCAGAGAATAGAGGAAGGATCTTGATGCAGAGCAGTAGAAATATCCCATAACCTTAGAAATTTACTCCACAATCCCGAAGCAACAGAACACGTTAAGAACAGGTGAGCTATAGTTTCATCCTGGGAATTACATAATGGACACAGTACTTCCGTTAGAGGGATCCCTCTTTTCTTCAATTTCACTCTAACTGCTAGTTTCTGATGGCAAATCTGCCATAAGAAGGTTTGAACTCTAGGCGGAGCCAAACCATCCCAAACCCACTTCTTCCACTCAAAACTCTCTTCAGAACTATCATATAACGACAGTCTACAAGCTTTGACCGAGAACATGCCATCCCCTTACCCGACCACCCCAAGAAATCATCGACAGAACATGACAGCTTAATCTTGTCAATCAACAATATTAGATCGATCCACTGGTCCAATTCCCAATCACACAAATTCCTTCTAAGCTGGATGTTCCAAACCCAAACATTATCTTCATACCCACCAAACTCAGAGACCTTTCCCCATTTATTTGTAGACAAAGCAAAAATTCTGGGAAATTGATGATTTAAAGGCAAACTAGTGATCCAAACATCAGTCCAGAAAGCAATCGACTGACCATTTCCCACTTGGATCTTTGAATTGTCTCTTAAACAGTCACCGATCTGATCATTCTTCGAAAAGTTACTTAGGATGCCTTTCCAAATCCAAGAATCAAAAGGAGAAGCCGCATCTGAAATAGAAAGGGACAGGACATCAACATTGTTTTTGCAGCAGATCAACTCCTTCCACAAGCTTCTTTTTTCATTTGCAAATTTCCAAATCCATTTCCCAAGTAGGACTCTATTTATCACCCTTAAATCAAGGATTCCCAAGCCACCCTCTTCAATAGGTTGACAAACCGACTTCCAACTCACCCAATGAATTCGTTTCTTATCAAGGTCTTCACCCCAAAGGAAGTTAGCCATCAAAGAATTCAACTTCTTAGTCACTTTGAGAGGAATCTTGAAAATAGATAAAAAAAAGATCGGCAAGGATGAAAGCACATATTTAACTAGAACAAGTCTACCCGCCAACGACAATGATTTTGCTTTCCAACTTGCTAGTCTTTTATTAAAATTTGGAAAACAGGATCCCACATACTCTCTGAATTCTTCCTAGTGCCAGTCGATAGACCAAGATAAGACATAGGAAAGGACCCCACTCCACAGCTCGCTTTCATAGCCCATTCTTTAACCAGGTCAACATTCATATTAACTTCAAATAACGAACTCTTAGACAAATTTAAATGTATCCCAGACATGACCCCAAAAATCCTCAATACTCTTCTAATATTTAAAATCTGCATTGGAGAATCTCTGCAGAAAAGGATTAAATCATCTGCGAACTGTAAATGTGTCAAATGAAATGAGTTACCAACCCTACCAATGTTGAACCCTTGAAAAAGACCTAAATCAGCAGCCTTAATCAACATAAGATGTAACAGTTCCCCCACTAGATTGAACAGGAGAGGTGAAAGACTGCACCCTTGTCTCAACCCTTTACTAATGTGGAATTCGTCAGTAGGACAGCCATTAACTAACACCGAGATAGAAGCTGAAGAAACACAACGTTTAATCCATGAGATCCATTTTTCCCCAAAACCCATAACCTTCAATATTCTGAATAGGATAGGCCACTCAACCGAATCATATGCCCTACTAAAATCAGCTTTGAAAACAACTCCTTTTCTCCCTAGTTTTCTCCAATAGTCAATGCCTTCATTTTCCAGAAGCGCACAATCAATCAGTTGTCTACCCAGAATAAAAGCGAATTGTGAAGGGCTTACCAAGCTATTAACAACAGAGACAAGCCTTTTCGATAGCACCTTAGAAATGATCTTATAAAGGCTGCCAACAAGACTAATAGGCCTGAAATCTTCAATTCCCTCTGGATTCGCTTTCTTAGGGATTAGAGTAATAAAGGAATGATTCACTTCGCTAAACCATTGGAAATAAGGATATCGTCATTACCCAAAAAGATATTGTAATCGGGTTTGGAGAAGAGAAGGGGAGATAAAAGGGATTGCTTTTAGATGAAAATGCACCTCAATTTTTTTTTGATAAAAAGGAAGGCCTCATTAAAACCCCCCTTTATATCCGTCAAGCAACAAAGACTTAACGAATATTGGAAGGAGGAAAAGAGTGCTTTAGAAATTTTATTACAAAAGAACCAAGTACACTAAGAACACACTATCACCAATTACCCTTGGCAGCACTCAACACTGTGCAAAGATGCACTACAATTATGACTATGTTATTACCCTACACAAAACTACCTCCTAAATAACTCAGCCAGGAACAAACTTAAACAATGAACAAAGCTGTCAACTAATCCCAAGAAAACAGAACAACAACATAAATAAATGCACCTCACAATTAAGCACAACTACAGAATAAGGAAGGTTCAAAAGCCGTAGATTTAACACAATCACAATAACAGGCATCTGATTGTACACAGATTTTAAAGAAATATATTGCTACAACAGGATGTCAGATCATGGCATCAGCACAGACAATAGACTAGACCAAAAAATGTTGAATCAAGATTCAAGACCATGAAAAGTATTGCATGAAAAGAAGATAAGAAAATAAAGCATATGAGATTAGTACTCAGTTCTTAAGATATGAACCAGATATACCCTCTTTATATGCCAAAACTTTTGCACTCCAATTTGTGATAAGAGAACAATAATCAGGTTTCCACTTCTAGTGCCATAAGGAATACGAACAGAAAGATGATTCAAACTTTAGAGAATGCCATCAAACACAAAAGAAAGCCCTGCATGATCTATGCATGCCAGCATGTGGACATCATACTTAGCGGATAAAACAAATAACAAATTTTTTTTTTGATAGGAATGGAAGGCCTCATTAAAAACCCCCTTAATCAGCAGAATGAGGAAAAGAGCGCCTTAAAAATTTTATTGATAATAAAAGTTTACATAAGATTTAAACACTACACCAAATTACATCACATAAAACTTAACAACTACTTTCAACTAGACCTCCTCGCTGGATCAGAAAATCCAGTGATAGAACCTTACAGTCAACCTATCCCTTTCTTAACTAAGCTATCAGCCTCCCCATTGCTTGCCCTTGGAATCCACCTCATTGAATGAACCATATCATTTGAAAGAGACAAAATCTGATTAACTAAAGGCGAGTAGAAAGCAGGAGCCAAAGCCGGTGATTGAATCCATTCCACTACCGACTTGCAATCACTCTCAACAATCAATCTCCCAACAGATACCCAAAGTGATGCCAGAAAAATTTCAATGCCTCTTTTAATAGCCTTTAATTCAGCTAGAGGAGGAGTACCTTGGCCAACCTTCTCTGAAAAAGTCAAAAATGTGCGACACTCCCAATCTCTCAAAATACCTCCAATACCTCCACCCGAGCCATCAAGCCTAGCAGCTCCATCAACATTCATCTTAAGAAAATCAACAGGGGGTGGAATCCAACGCAAGATATGACAAACTTTGGCTTTGGATAAAGAAAACCCATCTGCTAGGGATGGATTACCAATCAGCAAATCCTCTTGAATATGAACCATAGGAAACTTGGCTAAAAACCATTTTGAAAGTCTGAATCTAATTGTAAAGAACAAAGACATGCTGTCAAGATTAGATCCTTCAAACACCATAGCATTCTAGCTTTCCAGATTGACCAGAAGATAACACCCGGAATAAACTTCCAGATCGTCGAATT